TCAGCCATCCCGAGCAAAGCAGGGCTCCATCACGCCTAACGGTGACTTGGGAAGACAAACGCCGTCACGCCGAACGTCCCCCCCTTCCTTCTTCTTCCCCCAGCTTGTATACTGGGCATGATGTCATATGGTATGGTATAGCCCTTGGGCCAGTCTGGGTCAGCTGTCCTAGCTATGCTCCCTCCCAGCTTCTTGTGCACCTGGCAGAGCACAAGAAGCTGAAAAGTCCTTGACTGGTGTAAACTCTGCTTAGCAAGAACCAAACCATCAGTGCGTTATCAACATTATTCTCATCCTAAATCCAAAACACAGCGCTCTACCAGCTACTAAGAAGAAAACTAACTCTATCCCAGCTGAAACCAGGACAGCCCAGAAAGGGGAAGGGAGCCTTTTAGAGCTTGATTTTTGGAAGCGTCAGAGGCACACGGATTGTGCTGTCTCTCAGCGGATGTCGAGGCGCATCGTACCTGCGGCCTTTTGGGTGCCTTAACACACAGGGAAGGTGTCAAAGCTAGGAAGCTATTTTAATTCTCAGGCATTTAGAAATATAGGTTTAGAGAGCACTGTTGGAAAGAATTACTAATGCCTGAAGAGGGTGAACATTTTCATGCCAGGAAATTAAAATGTGCCTTCTAAAAATAGCTTTCAACTGAAGCTGTTGTAGTAAAGAAAACAACTGGCCTGGCCACAATAGCCTTTACGGTGAGCCGGACCCAGGGAGCGGTGGCTTCCGCACGCACTCGTCTGCCACCTTTCAGCGTAGCTCTGCCAAGAAAGAAGCAAAGAAGTTAAGGCTGGGTGGGGTGGGTGCCTCCCACGCTCCTGACGCTTCGGAATTATCTTAGCTCTTTGTCAATTAAGTAACCGGAGGACATGGTACGAACTTCTGTTTGTTAAACTTCTTCCAACAAATTTTCCAGCTAGCGTTTCTGAGACAACCAGAGAAAAATGATTTTCCTATACTTGTTCTATACTTGGGCATTTAAGTTTGTGGGGTTTTGTAATGAATGATGTCAGTATAGCTGCTTATGATGCAGTCTTTCTAATGAGCCTGATGAACTTTTTATTTGGTTTCTGTTCTCTATCTTGTCATAGTTTAGCAGATCTTTCAGGAACTTACCTATCTGGGAAACTTTTTTCTTTTTTAATCAAATGTGGCTGTAATTACCAATTACTAGCGAGGTGGAACTGGATGACATGCAATGCTGCACAGAGGGTATGATTGTACAAGGGTTATTTGCTTATGAAACCATAGCGAAAGCATAAAACCCTGAAAGCTCCCTTCTGTTTACAGGAACGCATTGATCCAATTCATGTGTATAGTTCCTGATGTGATTTTAAATGAAGCTTACCATACCTTTTATTTTGTACTCACATGGATTTTACAATTTAAGTTCCATGCTCCTCGCGCAGGAAAATGCTCAATATGCAATTCGGACAAAGGGAATAACTCGTGGCGTGTCAAACTTTGCCACGTGCAGACCAAGTTAGTGGAAACTGTTTGAGTTCAGGTCAATGGGATCAAGATTGTATCTTTGATTGAGTCTTCATTGTCTAAATTATTAATTGTGCCCTGAATGTGTTATGGGGATCTAATTCTCTCCTCTGGTGTTAGTCATAATTAAGATATTAGCATAGAGAGACTTTTAAAATACTGTCTGGAGGTGGCTTGTAACCTCGGCAGGGAATTAGCTCCTTCCTTTGAACAGAAGGCCTAATACCTTACACTCGGTGTCTATGAGGCTTTGCAAGGGATGTGTAATTCCACCCAAAGTCAATAAGTAACTAGGGTGTGAAATGCCACATCACTTCCTCCTATTGAAAGCCAGATGCTCTTTTGCAAAAGCGCTCACGTGATGTCCACATTTTTGCAGCGAGGTCCTCTTTGGCTTAATCTGGGGTTCTGAATAGCCTTGGGAGGGATGAACTTGGAACGAGTGCTTATGCACAGGCACTGGAAGCCTTTTTCCTCTGTCTTCGCCAGGGCCTTGCCTGTAGAACAAGAACAAGTTATGTCTAGGTAAACGAGCCATCTCATGGTTTCCTTCTATGAAGCGAAGAGTATTCCCTTCCGTCAGCCTTAGTCTCGTTACTCAGACACTCTGATTTGCTGAAGACTTTGAGATAGAATTAACTGCATATGCACAACCGCAGCAGTTACATTTTCAGAGCTGTTGATATGCAGACGCCTTCGAAGTTAAACTTGTATCTCTAAGCTAAAATACTTTGACGTTTTCATAGCGCATTTGTGCCGGCCAGATTCTACACCTAAATTGCATCGCTTGAACAAAGTAGGTTAATGTCATTAACTCTATCCGCGTATTGTTTACTAGTTTCTCCTATGGTCACCTGCTCACGTTCTTTATTCTCTTCTGCAACTTGGACAGTTCTTGCTTTGAGGAAGCACTGTCATCAACCTGCCTACCAAGAACAAAAGTACAAATAGGAGAAAGTTGCCATTTGGAAATGAGATGTATGGACACGTTTAGAAAAAAGGTCCTGTCTTAATTCACATTTCTTAAAATCTAGAGTTAGGCAAATATTATGGCATAGGAATAAACTAATGTGCTGACAGAAGCGTATTTTACCCCTAGAAATGGCCACAGCATCCTAACAGATGCAAACACGAACGCCAGCTTTTTATTTCTGAATGACGGTTTGTTGAAGATGCACATCTCTTGCAAAAAGTCAGCATTAACATAGCATAAGCCCACTTGCATTTGCATACGTGCATTTATTCATTAGTTACGTGAGTTCTAAGAAATAGTTTTCTTACCTTCTGACCCTGCCATGAAGACCAGATAGAGAACCAAAGCAACGGCAGCAGATGTGCCATCCACTGCTGTGCAGAAGTTTTCTTCTGGATGGACGTCCTGCTCCGGTTCTATTTCAGGGTTTATACTGGGACAGTGCACTCCCAGCAGCCTCGGTGCTGACCAAGTGCGCTCCAGCACGACCTGGGGCCTCTGTACACGCAGGTTTCCTAACACCTGGGAGTGTTGCATAAGAAATCCAGACCTCTGCACAGTCCCTTCACTGGCACTTCAGAATTCCCGAACCTGCTTCTGCTGCTGGTTATTTTTAATTATTTCTTTAAACTGTGATTATTAGCCATCACTTTCTGTTTGCACTTCTAGGATGCCTGTTCAGCTCTTTGCAGTGAGTTTAAGTAAGTGCCTCGTGCAAAAACTTTTACCCAGCACGATTACGGGAACTTCTCATTCCAGTCTTATGGACTATATTTTGGTATGACTCTAATCAAGTTATTTAGCCAGTGACTTATGAAGGCGAGACTTAACTGGTTTCTATGGTTCTCTGAAAGGATGTTGTCATTATCAGCTCGGCTAAAGGGATTTAGATGCTTAATTCTGTACCGAAAAGCTTCTCTAGGCATTGAACAGGAAACGATGAGCTTAAAATGACTGAGGCGTTGTCACCTAAGTCCCTTAAGCTCTTCTGAAAATTTCATTTGTTCAGAATATGAAAAGAGAGAGTATCTGACAATGAGTTGTAATAACATCTGATTAAAATAAGCGCTTAGCAAGTTACTTGTTTTTCTTTCTAACCTCATGCATCTAGAATAATCATAGGTGTTTAAAACAGAAGATAACCACGTCGTAAGTGAAATCTCTCAAGCGTTCCTCAGGAACCCATTTCTAGAGTGCGTGTGGTTTAGTCTTTGGGATATTGGATATTCTTATTTTTGTGAGGTGAAAAAGAGGTGGTCTCAAGGAAAGAAACTGCACCAAACTGTGATCTGATAAAATACGTTGTGCCGGTGAATTTCAATACTTCACCAAAATTAAGAAAGCAGTTGGGTTTAGAAAAGAAGGAGCCTGCCAAATGAGAGCCTTGGTATTGTATGTAGGGGAGATGGCAGTTTATCCTGGACATACACAGTGTCTGGCTTTTGCTCGCTAGGGAGCAGGACAACGCTTTGGATGTGTTAGCTGAGATCGTTAACTAGTTCATAACTGGCTTAATTGTTAAGTTTATCAACGTGAAAGTATTTTGCCAGGAGAACTAGTAATTTCACGGAGTCCGAGTTCAGCTTTGGAGAGACAGTATCAGCAAAGCCGAAAC